TAACGAAAATAAGCCCTAACATAAAATATAGTCCTAAGTGAAATAGATATATATAAATAAATAAATGGAGTTTGTCAACAACTGATTTTATTAGAGCTTGCTGCAAACTTTGTGTACCAGGTGCTGATGAAAAGTCTGGTTACGGTTCATTGTTTCGAACATTTTTGAGTGATAATAACATTGATCTTAAGTTGACCACTTTTCACGGTCATCGTATTAATTTGCTTTTTGCTATGGGTGCATCTGTGTTTTTTCACAAAGATAATATTTATGAATTTATTGATTTGTATTTTGAAAAAGAGAATAGAAATAATTTATTAAAAGCTGTTGCTAATGATGTTAAAAATCCAATGTATTTGGCTGGTTGTCGAGCTTTTGGAATAGTTGACAAGTTATTTACTGGTCCTTTGTGGCGTATTATAGAAAATGCAGATCATATCTTAGATTTAAATCAGGTGTGGGAACAATTTAAAGGTTTTTTAGAGATTTATTCTCAAGATGCTACTGATTTAGTCCAAGGAAACATATTGTATAAAAACTATACTAATATTGATGAAATTTTTGGTTGTTTATTTGCTGTTGAAGACGAAGAACTCAACATTCTTACTACTGAAGCTCTTCAAATTATTTTATTAAACTTTCAGTTAATTCTAGAGAGACAGTTAAGTGACTGTCTTCCTGGAGGAATATTAAATGAAAAAACTGATGGGATTGATATAAATTTAAGAGAACAAAGCAAATCAGTTCCTACTACCAATATTATTTCGGAAAGAGATTTTGAAAACTTAGACAGGCTTCAAAGGGAAAAACCAAATGCCAATTTAATTGCACTGGAAGGTATTATTTTGTTTGCTAACAACAAAACAGTTAAGAGGTTGAATAATTTAGAAAGTGAAAAAAAATCTGAATATTTTAAAATAGCAAGACAACGTACACCAGAGATCATTAAACAGTTTAAAGAAAGAAAGATTGAAATAAAAAATCAACATTCATTATTACTTAAGAAAAGAGAGGCAGATAAATTAAAAAAACAATTGCAAAATCAGCAAGAAATTGAAAAAATTTCAAAAGACATTCAGAACATAGGTGGTCTTTGGTAAAATATTGAAGACATTAATAAATTTTTAGTTAACTTAACTCAAAATGAAAAGATTGAAGCGGTAAAAACTCAACTTAAGTTTAGGAAAAAAGTTTTACACATGAATGTTGAACATAAAACACTTTTACAATTTTCTTCTAATAATATTTCATTTTCTTTAGCAGAGCTTATTTCTAATTTGAAAGTTCTTATACATTTGAATATTAATGTGAACAATGCACAATCTGGAACCAAAGATGCATGTATTATATTTTGTATCAAATCAAAAGAAGAAAGGGAGCAAATTATGGAAAAACAAAAAGAACTCATTTGTATAAAGCTCAATCTGTGAGCCAGTACAGAAAAAACCAAGAAAATCAAACAGTAATAAAGCTAATTATCAGAGTCAAAATCATGATAATGTAGAAGAAACTGATTTTGTTGTTAGCAAACCTTCAGAAACATATACTCCAAAATCCATAGCTTTGAAAGCTGGACAGTATGTTGCTGTAGCATATATTGATACCTGGTATCCAGGTCAAATTTTATCTGTTAAAAATGATTTACTGGTTCAGGTAAAAGTTTTGTGTCCATCCCAAAATATGGGCAATTTGTTTAAATGGCCACAAAAAGATGACATTAGTGTTGTGGAAAATATTTCTATTTTCTGTTCAGATTTCGAAGTTAACGCAAAAGATTCAGGTGGAAGAACTTGGGTTTTAACAAATTATGATACTATTTGTTCTGAATATAAGAAATATTACAATACCTATTTTGTCTAGGGTTTATGAAATCATGTGTTTACATGCTATTTCATATATTTATGTAAACAGATATCACAAATTTCTGTGTAGTAGTCATATATATTTCATACTATTGCTGCTAATATTACTATGATTTAATATAAACTTTATCTTAATAAATAAGTATAGCATATTAATAACTTTGGTTTTTTTTTCTTGTGATGTTTTAGTCTGGATCCCATAGATGTAAGCTTGACCAGCAATTGCATTACACATTTGGAAAAATGTCATGGAATGGTAACCTATCAATAGAACCTTGAGGAATCTCGGACTCAGTAGTGGTACAACTTCAAATGATTCAGTGATGCACTGATGGTACAACTTCAACAGAATTATCCAATTGATGTGTTATTGATGAAGAAAATGATGATGCAGGCATACAACAGTGCTAGTAGTGAACTTATTAGAGCTGTTTAAAAAAATAAAATACATTATATGCTGGAATTTTTTTTCATGAAATCATCAAATATCACATTTATCAGGCATAATTTGTTTCAGTCGATGAATCAATAACATAATGACATTTTATTATTTGGCTCCAGTAACATCCAGTGGCAAATATTTCAAGCATATTCAGGATGAAATATACAACATGTAAATGCATAATTTGATATGCCATGTGCATGTTTTTTACAAATGAACTCAGTCTCAGGATGGGTAGTCAATTCCTGCTGCCAGTTTGATAACTTGTGTTAAGATATTTAGTTGAATACCAATATTACAAAACTCAGCTGAAAAATGAGAGAATAATGAAGATAAAACATAGATCGTGATGTAAAAACTTTGGATTACCTTCAAATGGGAGCCATTTTGGATCAAAATGGCCACCATTCAGAGTTCAACTGTCATAATTCATTCAAAACCTGATACCTTGTATTAAAACAAACAATTTGATACCAACATTGCAAAAATCAGTTGAGAAATGACTGAGTATTGATGAAAAATGTTTAATCGAAACAGAAAAACTCCGAAATGGGAGCCATTTTGAATCAAAATGGCTACCATTTTGAGTTGTATTGTCACAATTCATTCCAAAATTGGTACCTTGTGTTAAGACAAACAATTTGATACCAGCATTACAAAAATCGGTCAAGAAATATGAGAGTAGGACTAAAAATTGTATAAATTTCATTCAAAAGTTATGAAATTGGCGGCCATTTTGATTAAAATGGTCGCCTTTTTCGCTCTTTAAGGTACAAAGAAATAACCATCACATGCATTGATAACTGTTTTAATCTCATGAAAAATTTCATGAACACATCTTTAGTAGTTTATGAGATATTTTCATTTTAGTGCTACCATTGGACACTACAATACTTATTGTTGTAATATTGACTTCGGTGCCATTCATCATTTTAATGTCAAAGAGGCTGGGAGTGCAAACTGAGCCTTATTTTTTTTTATGTCCTTCAACCTACTTGTCCAATTTCTCATAATTGTACCATTTGTGATGAGTTGCAGGGTGAAATCAATCTATAATGTTATATGCATACCATCGTTTTTGATAATTGATAGAGCTATATGGTTATTGTGTCCCATTATGCAAGGCAGAAAACAGCACTTTATGGAAATTTGTATGGCTGTTAAATTTTTTGAGAGCATATCATGGACAACTCTGAACTGTATTATAATAGAATGTGGTATACACTGTCAGAAAACAAGCAGTATGTGGTTGATATATGTCAATGTGGATCAATATTAACCTTCTAAAAGGGACTTCAATGTCTATAAAATGGCGGCCATCTTGGATAAAAAAAGGGGGGATGAATTGGAAACTTTGAACACTCGTAACTTTTAAACCATATATCCGATTAAGACAAGTAATAGCTCAAAATGTTTGTCTTAAGGAGCTTTATCAAATAACATACATAAATGACAATATATTCCCTGTAAATAAATAGGCCTGGCCTCTCTACCTGTAACTACGAAAGTTTAAATCTTATTTTCACCAAAAGGTATGCAGATAGTTTGACCATCATAAGAAACAACTATGTTAAGTTTCATTAAATTTGGATAAGTGGTTCTCAAGTTACAGTGCGACATGTGGACGCCAGAGAGACAGACAGACAGACAGACAGACAGACGGCCGGACATTTGTATACCATAATATGTCCCGTAAAAATTTTGACAGGCGTATAAAAATGACTATAAAAAATCAAAGTATTTAATCATTTTAATGTTCTAATGATCTAATCCATCATATAAAATCCATATGACCCTTGAATGAAGGGATGAACAAAAGCGGTTATATACATGTATAATTGGATCTCTGAATATGTCATGATTTATAATGCCAATCTTTGGGCATCAACTAACCATCAAGTTATTTTAATAATCATGATACTTTTTGAAATTTTAAGTCATTCAAAAATGTTTAAATTATACCAAAAGTTGAACTAGTTTTTGATATAAGGTTATATCTGAGAAATGGACTAAACGAGACAAGGTTTGGTGGTAAATACATGTACCTTGTTATTGGCTTTGAACTAGCTGTTAGCAATTGGGAGTACTCTCAGATCTATACTTAGTCTTTTTAGTTTTTTGGGATGTATAAATCTGCTTTAAAAGCCCTTTTCACACCAATATCCCAGCTAAGGTGGTTGGTTTAGCACCACAAACTACTAGTCTAGCCCCACCCACAACCTTTTGAATGTGTCTGTCCCATGTCAGAAGCCTGTTAGCGTAATTCAGTGGTTCAGTTTGTCGTTTGTTGCTGTTTATAATATTTTGTTTTTTTGGTTCTTTGTTTTTTATATATTACATTGTATAAATTAGTCTGTTAGTTTTCTGGTTTGAATTGATTTACAAATTTGTGATTCTCATATAGGGTCTTTAAAACCTGACTATGCGGTATTGGCTTTGCTCATTGTTGAAGGATGTACAGTGACCTATTGTTGTTAACTTCAATGTCATTTGATTTCTGGTGGAGAGTTGTCTTTTCTCATTGGTGTAAACAATATTTTGTTTTGAAAATAATTACGTAATTTAAACATTACTATCATTACAATATGACAGATTTATTAGGATTGAAAAACAAGTGAATTTACACTTTTAAAAATTCCTCTATTTTCTCATTGGCAATCACCACATTTTCTTATTTTTATATTTACATTACATACATGTAAAGCAGACCTTTCATCTTCTCGAGGAGTCCACTTCCTATGTACAACCAGGGGGCCCAAACAGCATGATTTTGAGTCAGCTAAAAAAAAAATCAAATAGATTATGATACAATAAATAAATACATAAATTACATAATAATAAATAATGAATCTACAATCATATTTTAAGAAGTGAAACATCATTTTAAATCAATAAATATCATATATCAAATTTCGATTTTTTTGTATCAGTGTATTCTAATTTTTGGGTAGATAAGTAAATACGGGCGAGTTGGCAGACCTTTATTTTTTTTATATCCTATATTTATTTGGATTTTACCCAAGTTAGGCGAGTTGCCATTGTTGGCTTGAGTAGATTTTAAGGATTTAACCCTTTTCATAGGTGGGGCAATTTTTTTAAAAGCGGGGCAAGTTGGTAAGGAAGCCACCACTTGATTTTTATGGGGAGGGGGCTAGGATAAGAATGTTATCCTGCATTTTTTTTTTAATTGAAATCTCTGTCCTGCCAGTTAATTTTTCACTATTTCCGTTCCTGGTAATTCTTTACATAAATCCTAGCTTTTTTTAACTTATAAGTTGACAGAACTCTAGTTCCGCATATTTTTCAAATAACACACCCCACCCCCCAATAAGCTCACATGGTAGCTCCCTTAACAAGAGTGGGATATTTTTATAAAGGGAGGCGTGTTGTTAAAAAAGTAGAGCGTTTTGCCATTGGTCGAGTTGACTTGCGTCCGTTCTTGACAATCTTTGACTGATTTACGGGTTTGCATGCGATGACATTTATAAAGTCAAATGTTTTTTCGTGAAAAGTATAGCACTAGCATCTTCTTAAATATGTGCATGATAATATTTACCTTTCGTTGCGCTTTCCAAGTACAACATAGTGGGTACGTAATCCGTTAAGAGAAACACAACTTTCTTTCGTTCCCCGGTTTCTTCCAGTTAATCGACAAGCAATCCATTTCAATTTATCTGTTCATAATAACTTTTTGACCCATCGGTTTTGAAAAACCAGAGTTCTTTGTATTATCTATCTGACTATAATAAAAAGCTTTCCATTCTTCAAACTCAAGGATTTGTACAACAGTGACACTATACAAATCCTTGTTAAACTGTAAAACATGAATTCAGCAGCAGACGAGCGTCCATGGATTTTTCGTCATAGTATAAAAAACGGCAACGGAGAAAATATTTCCGGGTTTTCGTATTCGACGTGCCAAGCTTTCGTACATTTACGATCATATACGTATATGAAAGTTAGTCCGGAACCCGGTCTGGAATCAAGAATGGGGATTTAAGTATAGAAAATAATTACAAAAAAGTTCAGAAGTGAGTATTATATGCCTCTGTTATAATCAAGGATTTGTATACTCTACAAATCCTTGATATTAGACTATGAAAAATCAGAGACATACATGTACATGTCTCTGGAAGAAGTGAGAATACAGAAAAAACTGAATAAAGAATATTTAATTATTTATTTATTATTTAATCTATAACTTATTCACTTATTTTACATTTTGTTCTATTCAGAATTAAATACAAGACTGTTTGTTGAGGGGGTGGTGCCGCGGAATTATGGAAAATTGACAAACGAGGATTACTTTTATCAAGGATTTGTATATTATTACTATATACAAATCCTAGCTCTAATCAGAGAAGAATTAAAGGTTAAACAGTAACTCAATAATAAATAAAATATAAACATAGGAATGCTCTTGGTTACAGAATTGGCTTAAGGAGTCTATCAGTCTTGGAGACTTAAGGGGGGTGGGGGTCACTTATGTATTCATTTATAATAAGTGCATTCGAAATTTTACTAATCGGACAGACCTTCTGTTAAGAATCCGTGTCAAGTTCTTTTGTAATCATAATTATTAGGAATCATCTTATAATAGATATAAGAAGATGTGGTATGAGTGCCAATGAGACAACTCTCCATCCAAGTCAAAATTTATAAAAGTAAACCATTATAGGTCACAGTACGGTCTTCAACACGGAGCCTTGGCTCACACCGAACAGTAAGCTATAAAGGGCCCCAAAAAATTACTAGTGTAAAACCATTCAAACGGGAAAACCAACGGTCTAATCTATATAAAAAACGAGAAACGAGAAACACTTATGAACCACATCAACAAACGACAACTACTGAACATCAGATTCCTGACTTAGGACAGGTGCAAACAAATGCAGCGGGTTTAAACGTTTTAATGGTACCAAACCTTCACCCTTTTTCTGAAACAATAGTGTAACATCACTACAAAGAAAGACACACTATAAATATCAACTGAAATAGCTTAACTCAATCAAAGGACATATTAACGCGATTGAACATACACTGAACAAATAAATTTGACCTATGACACAATGTAAATACAAAATAAATAAACTAAGGGAAGAATAATAAAAGTAACATGTTATATCGGTAAGAAATGTTAAACAATTAAAGAAAAACAATATGCTCGAACAAAAATACCATCCATTTGCAATAACTTTAAACAAAGGTAAATGAAAATAATTTTGTTGTTAGGTATACCTGTACAGTACCAATAGAGAAAGGAAATATTTTTACAAAATAAATAATTTTGAATACAAAATAAATAAACTAAGGGAAGAATAATAAAAGTAACATGTTATATCGGTAAGAAATGTTAAACAATTAAAGAAAAACAATATGCTCGAACAAAAATACCAACCATTTGCAATAACTTTAAACACAGGTAAATGAAAATAATTTTGTTGTTAGGTATACGTGTACAGTACCAATACAGAAAGGAAATATTATTACAAAATAAATAATGTTGATGTTCATAGTACGAAGTGAAAATTTATAGATATACCAAACACTTATCAAAGCTGGTATATAGACCAGATATAACCCTGAATAACATTAAATAACAAAAAAGTATAAGTGATCGATCCTTGAAATGGCTAAATTTTGGACTTGATCTATTGGTCCAAGGTTAAACAATATATTTTGTTTTATAATTTTCAACTAATGAACATTGCTTGCAAATACTTTAATCACTATCTCCTATATTCAACGAAAAGCTCACCAGATCTTAGGGACGAGTCGACATCAAAAGTTCAATGTAGGATAATACACTGACCCCCCCCCCCCCCCCCCCCCCCCCCCCCCCTTTTTCACTTAATTTGGGAAACATTGATTTGATACATATGTAAAATTGATGTTGGATAAACAAAACTTGCAGCAAGTTTTACCCACCCACCCCACCCCCAAACTATTTTATTTAATTTTTTTTTATCCTACATCGATCTTATGATGTCGTCAGTCCCTTATGTTATCATGCTGGTCAAAATGTCGAATCAAATCAAAATTTTACTTACTAAATTTGCAATTATACTAAGACGCAGGTTGCCACATGTTGAGCAGCCCCGGGAAGTTCCGAACTGTTCACTACTATCACTACTTGAGTTCATTCATGTATTTTGGATGTTCATGTTGCACACAGAGGCGAATTTAGTGCACCCTGCCCCTCCCCTTTTTGTGGGAAAAATTTGATTGATTGTATAGGGATTATCACTTAAGCATGCAGAGGTGGATTTAGAGGGGGGCCAGGGGGGAATTTGGTTGATTATATAGGAAATCACTGAAGCATGACCAGAGCGGGACCCTCAGTTAGGCAGTCAGTGGGCCCCACTTATGAAAATATCTGTATCCGCCACTGGCATGACTAGTGAGGCCTGCTTTTTAACAGTCAGTGCCCCCACCCCTTTATGAAAATTTCTGGATCAGTCAGTTTATGTGTAATGGTAAGTTATTGTTGTTTTCATATGATCTTTTATTCTCTGGTTTTTCTCGTTTAATTAGATTTTTGGTTATAAATTAATTCATAATTGATATCCTCTTTCAATTTCATCATTAACAATAGACCTACACCAAAAGGCCCTGTACTGTAATTTTCTATCTTGCCCAAAAAATACTTTAAATAGTTCTGTTTTCACAAATGCTTACTTGAAACACCACTTAATAAAATAGAAGCAGGTAATTTGCTTTTATTCCACACCAAAGGAGAATAAATGTATGATAAAGTTATAATGTTACCGGCATTATTCTACATATATATTGCGACTATTATAACACTATGTTATAGTCTGAGGTTATAGAAGTCTCAGATGCATTGTATAAGGGCTTTAATATAAGGGCGGGTATAAGGGACGAAGTAACACCATGTGACTATTGCATTGGTTGTCGTGATTTAAACACGATAAGAGTGTTTCCTTCCCCCTAAATCTTATGATCCTCATTGGACAGGATAGAAACTACTTCAGACATCAAACAATTTGAAACTTTTCAAGTACTTTCTATATGCTCATGTGCAATTTCTTGTTAGCATAGTTTTGTACTTGGACAGATAATCAGAATGATCAACAATCAAGTATTGACAACAGTCAGGTCTATTTCCATTGGTCTCAGTTGAAGAAATCAGGTATGCGGTAATTTTAATTCAGCCTTGTACAAAATATATATACATCCAGTCATTTTTACTCAAGGGTTACAAATAAGGTTAAATGTTAGATTTTTATATTCTTTTAACTGCATTCATGGCAATTAATTAGCCATCCATCATTAGTTGATTGTGGGAAAGACACCAAGCACTCTTTGTATTCAACTTAATATTGTAAGGACAAGCTTTTAAAAATAAAATCTTCAATTCAATTACATTTATTTCTTAATTAGGCCAATGAAATAGTATGTGTGATTCCTATTACATCTTTGAAAAAATAGGATAGGTAGGGGATTTTTCTTATTTTACAATTTTTTATTCATTGAGTCTATGGACTGATGGAAGAGAAATTCTGATTTTAACAGTGCTTATTGATAAATCAAAAAAACTTTAGGGTAGGCTATTTCTAAGCTTAAAATATAGGGTAGTTGCGGAAATAAGAAACACACATATTTTTTTATTTGACCTTACATACAGGAAAAAGATATTTTTTTTAATTAACATTGTTTTAATTTTATATAATTTCACTCACAAGTTGACTCCTTTTCTAGATTTTTTTTGGAAGATATGTTTTAAAATGGTTGATGGAAAAGTACAACCATATCTTAAATTAAATAAATGGATGTTCATGATGAACATCAAGAAGCAATTAAACAATTCAGCGTTTAGAAACTCACTATCTATTTATTATATGAAAGAATGAGAAAACTGTTGAATCATCGTGACTGTTGTTAAGAAGCTTTCCATCTAATTTTTTTAATTACTACCTGGGAACAGTCATGACAGTATATCAATATATATGTTCCTGTTACTATACACTTTTCATTACATTGCTATATTTAACCCTTTCCTCTATAATGATGCCTCTGTGTTGTAGTGCATCAATTGAAACGTTTTCATGTACAGTTAACATTGCATAAAGTACAAGTTTTTCTGCATTTCATTGAAAAATCCTATGCAAATGAAGTATATAAAAAAAAAGCTCTGGAGAAAAGGATTATAAATCAGTCATGGACATTGTCAGTTAATTATTTTAATATTTCATACTTTTAATTAAATCATGTGGTCTTTTCGGAAAAAAATCACTTCATATGTACTCATATTATGCAAATATTAAAAGTTATAGGCTTGAAGCAGAGATTCACTATACACATGTATGTCTGGCATGCAGAATGTTGAAAGCAAGTTAAGAATTTTACTTTATCACTTTATGCATGTATTCGCCGTCGTGCATATATCATGCATGGTACTTTTACATCTTTGAATAAGATATAGCCGTAATACGGATGTTGCAGAAACGTCCGTAATACGTATGTTTAAGAAACGTCCGTGAAACGGAAAATCCGTTTTACATCAGTTTTCACACGTACGTTTTACGGATGTTTTTTACAGACGTTTTACGGACGTAACCGTATCATCCGTAATACATCCGTATTACGGATGTTTTACGGACGTTTATTACCACATCCGTGAAACGTCCGTAGCTATTTTACCAGTGTATCCGGATCACATATGATCAGCCTTAGTAGGGTTTGTATTTGTAAGTCCTTGTTTTCTATGTTACTTTTGTT